TCTCTCTGTGTGTGTGTGTGTGTGTGTGTGTGTGTGTGTTTCATTTGTAGCACTGTGTGTTCAGTAACCTCACTGCAGTTGACACAACAAGAATACAGCACGGATGGTACTCACTACCGTAAGGGTATGTTTAGTTAGTTAGTTTTAGTAGAGGGTTTTACGGCGCTCGCAACTGCATAGGGTCATATGAGCGCTAGTAGATTAGAGGTGTGACAAGAGAGTAACAAACATAAAAAAGAAGGAGGGGAGATAAGGACGATAGATGTTTGATAGGATAGAAAAAGCAAACCACACCAGAGCACCCGCCAACCACCCACTGTAAGGGTATTCCAAAAAACACAAAAAAACTGTACAACTTTTAAAAAAAATATCTCGCACAAAATGCGTGCTAGAATGTTGTAATTTGGAATAATATGTATACTTCATTCAAAAGGAATTCGTTTGACATAAAATTCACATTTCGGAAAACAGAACTGGCTTTTATAAAAACCACCTTAAAATACAAAATGCAATTTAAAAGATCTTGTAAGGAAAGTCATGAAATGATTTGGTGGGTTTTTTTTTCTTTCCTCTTGTTTTAAAAATCTAACCATTCCATCCCTGTGACTTTAAACAATATTTGTTTCTCCTACAGAGCTTTTTTAAAAAAAATTCTTTTAAAATTCTGGAATTCCAAGAACCAATTTTGGACTCTGCACATTTGAACGCGTCGTTCGTAATGTTCAGTGGTTGCCACTTTACAGTATGGAGCTGTTTCTAGAGACAATAGTGGGTGGGGGGGGTATTAGGTTGCTCAAGTAGACAGAATGTGTAGAGATGATATAACCTGAAGGTGAATATGGACTTTGTCAAGGAACCAAATGTCATAGTCACAGAGGAAATGTTCACTTTTTTTCGAACGATTGAGGAATCACCAACACATTACAGTCTTCTGATAGCTTCGCGAACGAGAAAATAGTACAACCGTCGTAGATGAAGATATACCTTAAGAATACGGACTGTTGAGATGTAGGAAAGTCCTTGCTGGAGACATTGTCTACGGACAGACGTCTCATAGGGCTCATCTTCTGAATTCTGCACCCTGGTGACCTATAAAGGAGTGCGAACAATGTGCGTTTGACCTGCAGTGGTCGTTTTGTCTGACAATTTTTAGTTCTGATTCTCTACAGGTCCTGAATGATGGACCATCTCCACCTTTAATATAAAAAAGCCCTTAAGGCACTTTAACATTATTTCCGTACCATGTGCGAAACTTACGAAATGAGTTGGGGGTGAGGAAATTTTCAATACAAAATGCTCTCTTCTCTTTACTGATCTAAACCATGATCACAGCAGGCAAAGGAAACTTGAGAAAAACTATCTGCAAACTTTTGTTGGCCTGTTATACTACTGCAGTTTGCAATATGACGCAATCGTTGGGATTTTTAGTGGTAGGCCTAATGCGAACTAGTGCGTCATGCTACAAAAATGGGGACAGAGCTGAAAATGGGTTAGGTTTTTTTTTACGCGCTATGCAGAGCAAA